CATAACGGATCAAATGCAAAGTCAAAACAGGAAATTCCTTCAGATTTTGTAGTAATTTTCATCCCTACTTTTACAGATTTTTTGAAAGAATGTGGGTACATCATAATTCCTGACCACGATTACAGTAAAAATAAAGTTGTTGTCGTATTTTTCAAAAAATTGTATCAATACAAATGAAGCTTTTTTAAATACTTCATTGCAACATATATTCCTAATGTAAGATGTTGGTTGGATCTTATTGAAAAGATTGATTAAAAAATACAGGTTTGCCTTCAGAAACAATAATAAACAATACAATAAGCATAAAACAACAACATTTACTCTGTCTGAGGGATTACTGATTAAGAAAATTGAATGAGGTCAAAAGATAGTTTTCAAAGTGAATTAACGGTCTAAAAAAATCTACAAGTGAAGCCATTTATCACGGGTTTACTGGCTCTGCGTCGTCGGAACGATGTTTGCTCCTCACAGAAAACAGGGTAACAAGTTTTTAGTCACAAATGACTAAAACTGATTTTCGTGGTCAATTCTGTCACCTTTTCATCTTTAAGTTACAACTTTATCAAGAACCCAAATAAAAGAGACTTTTGGAAGCATTTCAGTTTAAATTAATGTAATCCAACTCAACAACAGCTCTTTTCAGGATTTAAAACAAGCGAACCCCTGTACCAACACCTGTACAGAAGCTAGAACTAAACCTGACGTTATACATACAAGGAGTTTTGCTCACATATCTGCACTTTAGACCGCATTTATGTACCCTGTCAGGATTAGAGCTGTTAGAAATGACTCAAACGCTTCTTTATATTTGAAGGTTTTTTATTCACAGATGAGTTTATCAGCTGTTTCCTCTATCTTAGTTACAGATTTATGACTACGTCATGTTCTCCACCTGCTTTTGTCCCTGAAAATCAGCTTTTAGCATCAAAGGATTTTCTGGTGACCCATGAGTGAAAGAGGGCTGCAGTTCAACAGCACCACCACCACCTCCTAACAGGGACTGCATTCCAGATACTCAACTTATCTGCATCACATATGATGCTACATGCAATCTGAACAGTGCTTTTGTCTCTGCAGTGACTCACCTGATGAGAGAGAGAAGTGAAAGAACAAGGTTGGACCAAAGGCCCATAGATGATGCTGTTTACTGTTTTCCTCAAACAGGAGGAGTGTAAAACATTGTGACGCTTCAGGAGAGGCCTTTAGGAGTTTAAAGGGGGGGTTTAAGTACAGAAAAAAGTTAATTTAGCATAAAGATGCATTTCTGGTCTTTTTACAAGCTGCTTTTTGAAATAAAACAAAACCTCATTCCTTCATGACCTGGCTTTCATTTGTTTAAAAAAATAATCTGAGGAGTAGCAGGACCAATCAGGTGCGAGCTACAACTGGGAGGTTTTACAAAGACCAAAATCAGTCGTGCAGTTGTTGGTTGTACTCAAAGCCTTTGGGACTGTTCAGTCCTCCTTGCTTGTAAATGTGGTCCTCCCCCTCTGCCTGCATGCATCAGGCGGACCAACTCTGGCTGTGGAGGGGAACACAGACGTCAACCAGCTCCAAGCACCTCACTGATGCTGTTTGTCTTCTTTATGGCCCATTTTGCTCACTGAACGTGCGTGTAGCTGAAAGGAGCTCTATAACGATAATTAAAAGACAGGCTGTTGGACCTTGCTGCTGTTTGTGGTAATTTTCTGCACTGCTGCCTGTTTTCAGAGTGAGGTTCATCAGCTGTATTCTGCTTCAGAAATCTGCTGAGCTCTTTATTAGTGTGGGGGATTCAAAACAGCTTTTAATGCTTCTGTTATCACCTTTGGAGTTCTTCAGCCTGTTTATTTATTTATTTATTTTATTTATTTATTTACATTTAAATTCCATGTTAATGAATTATAAACATGTTGTTTGTTATTTTTTTCCTCATTGAGCTCAGATTTTCTCTCAAAAATGATTGATTGATTTTTTTATGTTGACAGTTGATGATGAGCTACAGCGCCCCTAAACCCCAGCGCCATTTCTCTCTCATCTCAAAGATTTAAGGTACATCTCACAGCTCTGAGCTGAGGATTATGTTAATACCACCTTAAGCCCCCTTTGTTAAACAAGGATCATATTGGCTTTCTCCACTTTCCCTTGTGCACTCAGAGGAGAAAGTCAAGAGTGTCGGATGTGCCCCCAAAAGTGTGTTTTAAGTTTCCTTAAGCTTTGCATGATCTGACAGGGAGGAAGTTGATTGTGTTGTAGAAAAAAAATGCGCTTTACGTTAACTTTTACGGTTGCGTCCTACCTTGATGACTTTGCACCTGATCTGCGCCGAAACCATGTGGCTGTTCCGCAGGTTGCCAACTCGGAACATGAGGCACAGCTTCCCATCCCTCTGGGAGATGACCGCGTCCTGGCTGAACATGAGCGTCTCCGCGCGTTTCTTGGGCTGGGACATTTTGATGAACATGCAGCCTATGAGAAAAGCGTCCACTATGGAGCCCAGCAGCGACTGGAACAGGAAGAGGATGATCCCCTCCGGGCACTTCTCCGTGATGTACCGGTGGCCGTACCCGATGGTGGCTTCGGTCTCGATGAAGAATAGAAAAGCTGAAGGGAAGTTGTAAACATTTGCTACGCAGGGGGTGTAGGACGGGTCGTGTCCGTGATTCAGGTCGCCCCTGACGTAAGCGATGATCCACCACATCGATGCCATGACCAGCCAGGCGATGGTGTAAGTCAGGATGAAGATGAGCAAGTTCCACCTCCACTTTAGATCCACCAGAGTGGTGAAGAGGTCTGACAGGTACCTGCTGGTCTCCCCGCCGAGGTTCCCGTGCTGCACGTTGCAGCGGCCGTTCTTCTCCACAAAGCGCTGTCGTTTCTTCTTCACCGGAGCAGAAAAAGTGGTGGCTCGGTTCGTGTTCACCACCTGGTAGTCTTCTCCAAATTTTCTACGAAGTGCTGCCATATCAGCTGGCGTAAAGAGAAGGCAGCACTCACAGTTTAATGCATGTTGTTTGCGCTTTAGTCTCCAGAACACTGGTTACCTGCAGTGCGTAAAACGCGCCATGGTCCTCTCGGCGCGCTCGGTGAACCTGTGATCACTGTTTTAAAAACCACTGGTGCTCCAGCGCTTTTAAGTCACGGAAGTTATCATCTTGCTGAAAAGGTCCACTTTTCTCCCGGCTGATCTACATGGCAGCAGAGGCTCTCCGGGTCTGTCTGTGCGCTCTGCGCAGCCTTCGCTCAGCTGGCTGCTCCGGTGCTGACCAGCTGAGCAGCGGTCCACCACCATCCAGCTTCAACTGGGACGGTGAGAATAAAGAGGGACGAGAGAGAGAGAGTGGAGAGAGGGAGGGACAGGGGGAGTGAGAGAGGAGGGGGGAGCAAACCCGGACTGCCCTCCCACCCGAGGATCAGCTGGGTCAGAGGGGCAAACGCGCGGTGGCAAAAGTAGATTCTTTATTCCTTATGAGAGTTTGAAACGACTTTACATTAAACGTGATCCTATTGTATGAAACAGAATATTCTAACAAACTCACAGGGTCACGTAAGGGAAACTGCGCCATCTAGTGGAGGAACAAGCACGCGCATAATGGAATGTGAGGGTTCTTGACTGCGAGAGGGTTTAGACAAACCTTTATTGGAAAATGATCAAGCGAGGAGTTTTTATTTTATTGTTGAATGTTTCTTATTTATTACAATTTCTGGCCTGTAACTTTAAACATGAAGCCCACATCATCTGAATAGTTCGTGTATTTGCTTTGTTGGAGAATTCTAGAGAACCTGTGGTTCAAAAGGAGGCACGGACTCTTAACATCCTGAATCATTGTATGACAGGATGTATTATTTATTATCCTTTTGGACTGAGGTCATTGTTGGTTTTACCACAAACGTAAAAAGTTAAAACTTTTGTTGAACTTCAGTTTTAAGTTTTCATTCAAACTGACTGTTTTTTACTTACCTTTTGTTGGCATCTATCTATCTATCATCTATCTATCTATCTATCTATCTATCTATCTATCTATCTATCTATCTATCTATCTATCTATCTATCTATCTATCAATCATCTATCTATCATCTATCTATCATCTATCTATCTATCTATCTATCTATCTATCTATCTATCTATCTATCTATCTATCTATCTATCTATCTATCTATCTATCTATCTATCTATCTATCTATCTATCTATCTATCTATCATCTATCTATCATCTATCTATCATCTATCTATCATCTATCTATCTATCTATCTATCTATCTATCTATCTATCATCTATCTATCTATCTATCTATCTATCTATCTATCTATCTATCTATCTATCTATCTATCATCTATCTATCTATCATCTATCTATCATCTATCTATCATCTATCTATCTATCATCTATCATCTATCTATCTATCTATCTATCTCTATCTATCTATCTATCTCTATCTATCTATCTATCATCTATCTATCTATCATCTATCTATCTATCTATCTATCTATCTATCTATCTATCTATCTATCTATCTATCTATCTATCTATCTATCTATCTATCTATCTATCTATCTATCTATCATCTATCTATCATCTATCTATCATCTATCTATCTATCTATCTATCTATCTATCTATGTATCTATCTATCTATCTATCTATCTATCTATCTATCTATCTATCTATCTATCTATCTATCTATCTATCTATCTATCTATCTATTGTCTATCATCTATCGTCGGTCTGTCTCCATGGCAAAATAAGAGGAATTCTGGTAATGTAATTGCACTTTGATTATAAAAATCTTTGATCTTCTTACTCAAACCTAATCATCGGGTGAGAAATTCAACTCTTTCTACATTTTCAGACAATTGTGTGACTCTTTGTCCTAATTAGAAGTTAAATATTTCACTTGAAACTTTTTCAGTCCTGTGAAGAAATATTCCTAGATAAGACTGATCAGATAAAAGTCTAGCACTGACCCCAGCATGAGGCCTTAATGAGAACTTGAACTTGGAAGTGACTCAAACTGATGCAACAATCATGTAAGAAACATTCCTTTTTACATTTAAGCGCACACTGTTTCAACATGAAAGAGGTTTTTCCATGCTGCTAAGATGTAACGCGTAGCTCAAATGTTCTGTCATTAACACATTTCCTGCTTGTAGAAACAAGGATAAAAACTACCAATGAACACTGTGGCTCTGCAAGGTTTGTCTGGTAGCACATGGTTTTTTCTGGCATGGAAATGTTTAGTTTTGGACTTCATGAACTTTCTCATTTTCTAGTACAATATTTTTTAAATACTATATATACACAGTCAACAAAAATATAAACGCAACACCTTTGTTTCTGCTCCAATTTTTCATGAAATGGACTCAAAGACCTAAAATTCATTCCAGATACACAATATTACCATTTCTCTCAAACATTGTTCACAAATCAGTCTAAATGTGTGATAGTGAGCACTTCTGTTTTGCTGAGATAATCCATCCCACCTCACAGGTGTGCCCTATCAAGATGCTGATCTGACTTAATGAGTAGTGCACAGGTGTACCTTATACTGCCCACAATAAAAGGCCACCCTGGAATGTGCAGTTTTGTCTCACAGCAAAAGTGTATTGACCTTTCTTTACAATTTCTAGTTTTCAAAATGCCATGAGTGCTGTCCTGACTTTACATGTCATTGGGAAGCACCTACAAAGTAATCCATTACTATGAAAACATGTTGAAACCATTAGATTTTGTGACCAAAGATGCTGGTGTCCTTTTGACAGCACTGACACTTTGATAGACGTACTTGCTTTTGATTAACATATTATCCATTTTGATTAAGGGACTTGCTTTTGAGGCATGAACTACCCATTTTGAGCTACTGAGTTGCTTTTTCAAAAGGTGACTCACTTTTGCAAGTTATCCACCATGTTTTGCAATTTGCATTAATTGTTTTGAGAAGAGCCTTAGCAGTGGTGCAAAGTTCAAATCTGTTGTGAGAAATGCACCAAAGACACTGAGAAAAACTGTAACACCATCACATCTAAACATTATTTACTCTCATAACCAATTTTAGACATTTGTCCAGTGGTTTTTAAACTACAGAATCAGTTTCAAGTACTTCTGTAGTTTATAAATCACTTAGTGGCATGGGGCCAGAATGCATCTCGGCTCTCCGCCCAGCAGGGCTCTAAGATCTTAGAAAACAGCTGGTAGAACCTCGGGTCAGAACCAAACAGGGTGAAGCTGCTTAGCTACTATGCTGCACACAGATGGAACCAGATTCCTCATGGCCTCAAATGTGCCCCAACTCTAGTCATTTATAAATCAAAGTTGAAGACTTTCATGTATTCATCAGCCTATGAATAACTGTTTCTTGCTGCACCTTATGCACTGTAACTGGTCACCCTTTAACTTTGTATTTTTTCTGTTTCCTTAATCTCAAATTAATTAACTTAACTTGATCATAATTTATTTGTGTATTTTAATGCTGCTGTCACCCTGTTTTAATGTTCGTGCCATTCTCGCTGATGGAAAGCACACTGAATTGCCTCTGTGTCTGACGTGCTATACGAAAAAAGAAACTCAGAACATTAAATGGCTGTTGCATATGTTTAAACGAGAAAAGTAGTCTTTAAATTTGAAATTATTCACTCAATACTTACTCTTTCAATAAATGAGAAAAACGTTGCACACTAGTTAAGGTTTCTAACGAATGAATGTTTTTGTGTAAAAGCCTTTAAATGTTAAAGAACACCAGCCTAAAAAAGATATAACATTTTAAAAGTGGAAAATTAATAATAATGAAAAAAAATAGAATCACACACACACACAGCAGTATAATGCAAAAAATGTATCTTTTTCAGAGTTAATTTGTAATTCCAGTCACTTAAAACATGATCCGCTGCTCAGGTAAGATAAAGATGAGAAAACGGCAGCTTAACAGGTGAAACGACTTGCTCTTTGAGATGCTTCCTCTGACATGTTTCATGTGATCTTGTTTCTGGTGATAAAACTCAGATCTGATACTTGCACTGTTGCTGGTGGAGATGATAACATTACATCATAAATCCAAATGTCATAGGAAATATGATCTAACATCTGACTTGGAGGAAGAAAATGACAGATCTGTATTGTAGATACATGTTTTCATGACACACAGAAGCAATTAATTTTCAAATTTTCCAAGAAAGAAGAATACATGAAAGAAGGATAAACAGCATTCTTGTTTTAGGTGCTGTCATGGTTTAGTTTTGAACGTCACTGCATTTAGGCTGGTAGAAATCGGTGCGCTGATTGTGCACAAAAGACTGACACCCCTGTGCACAGCACCTGAAGAGGGCCTTGTTTTTGAGCAGAGGACACTCTTACAGCTGTGATCCCCTGAGACTGGAGGATTAACGTGCAGCAGGATTGCCATCTGTTACACGGATGGCCACCAGGCTTCCTCTGACAGAGGAATCCTGATTAGCATAACACAGAATTCACCAAACCTCGGCTTGTTGCTGTGCAGGTTTCTGATGAAACAAAGGAGGGACACTAATAATATTAAATTTGTTTTTGTTTTTTTAATGGGATTGGGGAGGAGGAGATTAAACAAGGACATGAAATATTACAGGATTTAGAACTGATAATCATCTTTAAATTTTACAAAAACCCTCTGAGATGAAATTTATGCTGGTTTTCCAGCTTTATGGTGCAGATCAATCGTCCCTTTCAGGCGGTCGCTGTAAGTCGTGACTCCAGCTCATGCAGGAGTCTCATTGTCTCTGACATTCATACCTGCAAACCCAATTGATGGGAAGTTGAGACAAACATTGACTTACTTAGCTCTGTTTGATATTGAACTGACACTAAAAGGACACCATGGCATTTTATAAACGTAGAATCATTAATATAAATGACCCAATATGGTCAGCTGGTTTTCAGCACATAAATAATCACAGATGACCTTCAGCGTTTGTTTGAGATTACAGATTACTCTAAATTATTCTTATCTTTATCCTTGAAGATAGAACTCGCCAAGGATAAATTAGAAACTTGCAGACGAGGTTACAGCCACATTCAATCCCACCTGTGACGCTGAATGATAGGAACCTGATGGTCATTTAAACCATTGATTCCTACAGCTGGGGTGTGGAGCCCTCAGTGGGCCGAGCTACAAAGATCTAACTAACTTAAAGTGACAGACAGTTGTATAAATCAGCCCTAACTGCTGAAAAGAGAAAATAGTTTATAAAAAAAAGGTATAAAGTTATATAAACGGCCCAGTAGGGAATGTTTGTATAGTCAAGTCACTGACTGTGACTTTTATGTGTCAAAAGCTTAAAGATTTGTG